TCCGATGATCCAGGCCTTTGAACATCAGAGGCGGATCCAGCACTTTGGCAGCACCGGATTTCCTCCACTGTAAAAAAAAACACATTGGATCTAGAGTCCAGACTCTTAAAAACATCGACAAGAAAAAATACTCTTGATTCAATCGGATTTTTGCTTAAATCGAGAACCAAGCCTCTTAATTAGAGCGGGTTTCCTTTTGATTTAAGCAAAAATCTGATTGACTCAAGAGTATTTTTTCATGTCAATGTTTTCAAGAGTCTGGACTCTAGATCCAATGTGTTTTTTTCCAGTGTACATTTAAACCTATATGCTAAATAATCGATTCTTGTCGGAGCACCTGGCCTGGCCCCTCTAAGAATCGATACAGTTCCATTTCATATTTAAAAGGAAAAAAGACAATGTTGCGAATTTGCTGAATCCGCCGATGTTGAACATTGGGTTTGAAATTCCCGAAAAATCAGTGTTGAAGCTTATGTCTTTATATTGATGGATATAAATATTTTCCCAAGCTGTTACGTGGTGCTTGTTGTTTACTTGCTTTAAGATAGAGAGGGGGAGGGCTAACGTTATAGATTTGCAATTTTTTTTATAAATTACAGCGTCATTGGAGCAACTCATTTTTGACAAAATTGTCAGTTACGCGATATTGTTCGTTAGCCCTCGATTTCTTCATCTAAGTTGAAAAACGAAAGAAAAATAAATAAATATGATGAGAGCAAATAACTGTCCAATAACTGCAATAGCTCCTGGTGCTCGGGAATGTTCCGCTGCTGCACACGGAAGATACAATCAGCCTTAGAAAGCCGTTAAATTGAAAGTCAAATCGGTGTCTTGAAAATGCTTGTTATGCTGGAATTTTTTTTTTTTTAGTGATTTACTGCAAAAATTGCACGACGACTTGTATCGATATTTATGAATTAAATTTACAAATGTATCAAGAAAAATGAATAACATAAGATAATACAGGTGATCTAGAGGACCAGGAAGTTTGGAATTCTCTGTCGTTCGTTATCAGAAACTAAAAGAATAAATGGACTGGAATAGACATGGATTATAAAATCGTCCGTAGCGGAATGAACCTTATAGGCTTTCCTGATGCAACGTCATTTTTGTACAATTTCACCAACACATGTTTAACTCACATGTTCAACATACCCATTCTAGATATGTTTTACTTTGTCTCTGACCACCGAAAAGCTCTGATAATGTTACCGCGTTTTTTTCCGGGGCCGAAAGGTCACAGGCGGCTTACGACGTTTAAAAATTTCCGCCGCCATTTTATTTTTTTACAGAGAAATTGCTGCTTGAATCTGTTTGAAAATTTGATTGAATTTTATCGGCAGCACCAAGAATACTCAGTGAAGTTTTCGGACAGCTTCGTTAAAAAATTACTCTCTAAAAAAATAAAATGGCGGCGGAAATTTTTAACCGTCGCATGGCGCTCGTGATACTTTGGCCGGAGAGTGACGATGTGCGTATACATCCGAAATTTGCGTGTTCAAGTATCTCCAGAATAACGAGTTCAGGGATGTCAAAAAGTCGGATTAATGGAGACATGGCGCAGATTCATTTCGTGCACAAATTTTGACTAAGAGCGGAAAAGTTTACAGTTGTACCAAAATAGGCCGCCCTTCCTATTGTTCGTCACGCGACGGAAGATATAGAGTCGGAAAATAGAATTGTGCGTAGAATTCATTACGGCGGAAAGGGCAAACGAAAAAATGAATCGCAATGTTTCGACATTGAAATCTCTGCATTAGGATAGTCTGTATTATGCGGATCTTCTAAAATGAACAGATGAAAAGCATTGGATCCATATTTTCGACTGCATTTTTTACAAGGAACATGTTCCGTTATTTAGGAAAAATTGCACGATAGAGTAAACAATGAAAAATTTGCTGGAACAAGGTTGAAATACTAAAACACGAAAGGCCACGACCTCACAGGCTCATTTTTGGCTGTGCAAAAAAATGAAAATTAATAACAAATTAGATGGCGGCTGGCTACCATATTTAATTCCGCGATGTCCTTAAATTACTTTCCTACGGAATGGAAAGAAGCGGAAATAATAGTCATCCCCAAAACTGGTAAGCCACTTTACGAAGCTTCATCATACAGACCAATTTCCCTTCTTTCCATTCTGGGGAAATTATTTGAGAGAATTTATCTGAAACGTCTCCTACCACTAATTGATGAGAGGGGAATCATCCCAAACCATCAATTCGGGTTTAGGAGTCGTCATTCTACACTTGAGCAGATTCACAGAATAGTGAGCATAGCTGAAGACGCGCTGGAGAGGGGGAAAATATGCTCTTGCGTTTTCTTAGATGTTAGCCAGGCTTTCGATCGAGTCCATCACGAAGGCCTACTCTACAAAATTCGTAAACTTCTTCCAGCAAACCACCACAGGTTTCTGGAGTCATATTTGAACGGCAGGACTTTCAGGGTACGTTTTGAAGGTTCACGCTCTGCTCTGAGGAACATCCTAGCGGGTTGTTCCCCAGGGCAGCGTCTTGGGACCGATCCTGTACCTGCTGTTCACTTATGATATTCCAGTTAATCCCGATACTGACTTGGGTACATTTGCGGACGATACCGCTATCGTAGGAGTAGGTGACGACTTGCCTTAAGCTAACGCTCTAGTGCAAGGGTCCCTGGATAGCGTTTTCAGGTGGACGAAAATTTGGAGAGTAGCGCTGAATAACCTGAAATCGCAACATCTAATCATTTCAAACAGAAAGGTCGGTCGGAAGCCTGTCTTTCTAGATTTGAAGCCAGTTCCTCCCTGCGACTGGGCTAGATATCTTGGAGCAATCCTCGATAGAAAGCTCAAGTGGGGAGAACACATAAAGTCCAAGCTCAAACAACTTAAGGCAAAGCGCAAGAGGATGTACTGATTACTAGGGCGTGGCTCTAAGCTATCCCTAGATAACAAAATTCTCCTGTACAAGTGTATTTTAAGGCCCGTTTGGAGTTATGCTTGCATGTTTTGGGGATGCGCCGCAGATACAAACATCAAACGGATCCAGACGTTCCAGAATGTAACACTGAGACAGATGGTTAACGCCGAGTGGTACATCAGAAATTCTGATATCCACAAGGACTTAGGCATCGCGTCAGTGAAGAGTTACATTCGGGAGCTGACGGAAACTTATGAACGCCGCTTAGGATTCCACCCTAATGTCGAGGCAATGTCCCTCCTCGATAACTCTAACATAATTCGTAGACTCAAAAGACGTAAGCCTTTTGATCTCATTTCAGATTATATTGATTGCTAATTTTGTTTATCTACCACAATAAGGGTTAGTAACTCGCAAGAGTGAAATAAAAGACATTTTTCTGTATGTACATGGTTTATTGCTAACTTATCTTTTGTATGTACAGTTTTTCCTATGTCTTTGTAAAAATTTACCTAGTATTAAGTTATAAGGTAATTGTCTTCGTAGTTAGTTAATTTTTCCTTAAGTTCTAATCTAGTTCTCATATACTCATTTTCTTCACCTCCACAGCATTTCATTAGTTAACTAACTCTAAGATATATATTCTTTATTATAAAGTAACAGTGCTAAATTTGTAACAATAAAGATGTGCTTAATAAATATTCAAAAAAAAAGATGGCGGCCTGATCCCAGTTTTTATCACGCATCAATTCCAAATTGAATCAAAACAAGGGTTTGGTTCCAACTTTTGGGCATTAGAGAGCGTTCACCGCACGAAACTTTTGAATTTGTGGTAGGTTACATGCTAAGTTAAACAGTATAAAAATCACATTACACATTCATAGATTTTTCATTTGACATTTGAGCGATAACGGTGGAATTATACCTGGCAAAAACTTACAATACTCATTCTTTCAGTAATAGCATGGAGTGATGTATAGGGTTCATGTTGCACACAAATTTTGAGCACAAAATGTTTGAACGAGAACTGGATATTGACATACAAAGTCATTAAGTCGAACAGTTTCTCGAGGAAAGAGTAAATTATGCCAAAGGAAAGTGTACACTGATTCCGTAGACTATACCAAAAATAACAAAGAAAAACGTAAGCAATATGAACAAACAAAAAATAAAAAAATAAAATATCTTCCCGCTGCAAAAAAATGTTGGAGATCCCCATAAAGCAAAGCGGGGATGCTAACATTATAGAGTGTAACACTGTTACCGTGCAACTTCGAAAATTTTCGTCGTTTTCTCGAAATCGTAAAAAAGACGTTTAAAGCCAAATGGAAAACTAGCGGAATGAAAATATTCGTATGTTAAATCCGACTATTCTTCTCATTTTTTCCGCTATATTGAAAAATCATGACTTGTGTATAGTTACTTTAAAGTTCAATGTCAATTCATAAAGATTAACTCAAACAGTTGGGGAAAGAAAAGAAATTGGTAGGGAGACAGCGCCTTTCTTGGTTTAAGAGGAAGTTCCATTTAGAATATTCCTCCAGAGAAAATCCAGTTTTCTGACTTAAGCTAAAGTATCGGAAAATTTCAAGGAAAGATTCTTATACATTTCCGCCGAAATAAGTATTTTATCACAAGAAATCTGACAACCTTCAAATGTTTATACGTAGTTTTCCCTTAGCATGACAGTACTTTCACCTGGAGTCCCTTTGGGAAGAGTCAAGACATCGCGGCTCATGCCATGGATGTCACAAACGGAAATAAAGATTACACAAATTGAACGTTTTTCGTTATCTTTGATCAACTCATTCCCGAATTCCTATCTCCGTTCCTTCTCTCATGCCGTTTGTTCCTAATGCCCCGGTCTATTCTGGCTCATTATCTTTGCAATCGGTGAAAATTTAATCTTTATTCCCGTTTGTGACACTGTGGACTGGAGACCTAAAATACGGGGACCACTCAGAAATTGACTCGTTGTGTCTATACTCTCAGTATAAATAAGGGACTCAACTTTCACCCAGAATGTTGCCTTCCCCCCTTTCCCCCCTCCCCCTTTCCCCGCGTACCCCTTTTCCCCATTCCCCCATTTCCTCCGTTTTTTTCTCTTTTTTTCTCCCTTTTTTTTCTTTTGACCCAGTGCAGTGGCCAGACTCTCCTTGTAAAAGTGCTCTATCTGAATTTCCTGACCAAATTCACAGAAAGGTTTTAATCCTCTTCGGGGATGTAAGTTGGTTTTGAGGGTGTTCCCTCGGAGCTGGATAGGGAGCGACCCATGTTCCTGTTGTAGTCGTAGCGTCTGGATCTCAAAATCACCGCCGGGTATAAGGTCTTGACACAGTAGTCCAAATGCTCAACGCGGAACGGCTCACAACACAGGAAAGCTCCACACAAATGATTGCGCACTTTCACGGTACATGTCCACTCCCATACTTTCGTGCTGGACCTCATGATCAGTCGGCATTCGGCCTCCTTGGCGTCGGGACATTGATCTGTACAACAGTCATTCACAATGTCAAAAAAACGCACTTAAAAAGATAGTATAGGATCACGTTTTTCAATCTCAAAAACCCTCGATACTCCATTAAGTCATAAAAAGGGCCCAAAACCATGTGAAAATCAATTAAAGTATAGTAAGTTGGAATTTTATAGCCAACGTGCGTTGAAAATCAGCATTAAGCTGAAAATCTCAATACAGATCGAAGGAAATAGCTCATACGAGCACAATTTTTCCTCCGAATTGAGATTTTCAGCTTTATGCTGATTCTCAACGCACGTTGGCTAAAAAATCCAACTGACTGTCGGTCGATAGGACTCGTGTGTCTATCGCAATCAGTTTGTGAACTAAATTATAAGTAACTATGCGCAAAGTGTTTGCACATTGCATGGTTACTTTGGATTTTATCAATTTGAGCATAGTTCCTTTTAGCAAGGAAACTTCCGATTGAAGATCCCTCCAAGGAATTAATTGTAATTAATTGAATTAATTAATACCGGCTTCTTGGCAACCGTGGTTTAAAGTTTTGAGGCGTTTAAAACTTGACGTTTTTTGCGGTTTTTCCAGCTTGACGCGGATGATATCGCATGTATCATCATACACACGTCTATCGTTTAATTTGACCGCGTCAAATAAAAAAAAGAATCAAGAAAGTTCCAGCCGATGACGCGTATCGAGGTGGATGACATTTTGATGGAACAACTTATCGATGGTAAAACTGCCAATCCTCAAATCTCGTTTGCGGCGTTCAAGAATCTCCACTTCCATCCTAGAAAGTTCTCACAGAGTTTTCATCGCAAAGGGAGGGAAAATAATGGATTTTTCGGAGTATTGACGTTGAGTAGTTTCCCATTTATTACATAAAGTATGACAGGAAGTCTACAACGTCGCAAAGGGAGATACGTGGTCTGGTAGTTTCACTGTCGTTGTGTGATATGATCCATGTTTATGGGAAGAGACAGGTTGCCGGAAAGGGTCCTAGACTGAATTCCTCTCGGGAGAAGCGGCCAATGAGAGGGTAGAGGGATGGGATCGAAGTGAAAATGTTGAGGTGCTCGATGCCCGAGAGGTTATGGTTCGATAATGTAGTAAATCGGCGGTTAGGTGTCGCAGAGAGCCACGTTGTGCTATAAAACGACATGTATGTGTAAAAAAGTTTCTTCAATCCAAAATATATTTACAATTTTCAAATTAAAGAAAAATGGTTTTAAACCCCTTTTCTCAGTGTATTGGTGTCTGACTCTTGGCTATGTACGCTTTTGTTAGCTTTGCTCGTATCAAGGTGCATCGAATAGTTCCATATTCAGCTGTTAGTTTATCACCGTTGATGAAAAGGGGCCTCAGTCCTCGGAGGCGAAATTGTCAGCCGAGCAATTTTAGTTCAGACGCACAAAAAAAAGTTCAATTTATACTGTGGCGAGGCGTGCAACGAAAACCGTATTAATTGATTTTTTTTACCATAGCTTCAACTGGGAAAAATCGAGATTCGATCATTCACGCCTCGCCCCGATAGGGGGTTTGCAACGAACACCTTCATAATCGATTTTTACCATAGCTTCGCCCAACGGGAAGAATAGAGTCCCTTTATACTGAGAGTCAAGATAATGTGAATCCATTTCTGATTGGTTCCCGTATATTAGGCCTTCACAGTGTCACAAACGGGAATAAAGATTACATTTTCACCGATTGCAAAGATTATAATCTGGAATGGACCAGGGAATTACGGGTTCGGCAAGGAACAAACGGAATGAGAGAAGGAACGGAGAGAGGAATTTGAGAATGGGCCGATCAAAGATTACAAAAAACCAACAAAAAACGTTCAATTTCTGTAATCTTTATTCCCGTGTGTGACTCCATGAGGGGTGTTGTCTTCACTCTCAGTATAAAGGGACTCTAGGGAAGAATAAAACTTTACTCACGCTTATTGTGGCTCTGCTGGATGATGCCCAAGTAGGCCAAGAAGGCCATCTCGCAGGCCATTTTACTGTCCGCCCAGGTATGGCTCCTTTTATCAGGATCTCTTTGATCTCTAAAAACTTTACACGGATCGTTAGCTCTGTTCTGTATGAGATATGCGAGCTGGCCGTCCGAGGCCGGGGACTGGAAAGTTGCTGCGGGGCTGTTGGCCTCTGAGCCGACGGGCGTCGGAGTGGGGAGCGAATAATCGCCGGTGTACATTGCCCAGGAGGAGGTACTTCCGCTTGGAAAAGACTGGGATTGTCTTAAGACTCGTCTAGTCCCATGTCTCGGGGTGGTGGGGGCGCTCCTGGCAGGTGGAGGGGCGGCACTCGTTGAGGCAAGGGCGCTGTTCGAACGAGCGTGGCGCCCGCGGTTCCCACGCATCGCGGTGACCTTTGGACGGGGTGGACAATGAAAAAAAAACATTTGAGTTTTTCTGCCGTGCTAAGGAACAACGCCGTATGAACCTTCAGGCGTTGCCAAATTTCCTTTGATAAAATGCAAATTTCCTGGTAGATTTGTGAATAATTTCCCCTCGATTTTTCAGATAATTTAGTTCACAATTTTACCTACAGATTCTGAGAATATAAAGGGAAAATATTCATACCTTTCCTAAGAAATAAAATTTTATCGAAGGAAATCTGGCAACTCTCGAATGTTCATACGGCGTTCTTTCTCAGCACGGTAGTTTTGTGGTAATGTTGCGTGGTGTCAACGATCATGGTGTCAACAAACACAAAATCTGATCATGGAGTCAACGATCGTCGACGTCGTGTACTGAAAAACAAATATGGTAGATTTTACCATACTCACGACACATAGTGGTACTAATATGGTAATAAACACCAGCTTGATTCTTGTAAATCAGCTAAAATTAATAAGATCCGTCCAGGCAGCAACTTTGTACGTTCAATATTAACTGAGATATCGCCCTTTAAAAAGTCAGGTTTTTGACGTCATCTAGCGGTAGTGACATCCTTGGTTTCTCCCACCTCGCTTTCATCCGAGTTTTACGTTAAGTAATCAGTGCATGCGTCACACTCTGCATCACACTCAGGTACTACTGCGGCAGATGACCTTAAAAACCCGACTTTTCAAAGGGTGATATCTCGGTTAATATTGAACATAAAAAGTTGCTGTTTAGACAGATCTTATTGTTTTAAGCTAATCTACAAGAACTATATTATATATTTTATTGGTTTGAATCATCGCGATTCAATTATTGTGTCGAATATCGTTATTATTCCAAATCGATAAGTCGAATATAGGAGTATAACAAACCCACTAAGTCAGTCTATGGCTCAATAATGAAGCAATGAGATAATTGCACTTTTGACGAAACGTAGATATTATCTCTGTATAGTATACTTAAAGGAAATAAAGAAATAATAGTATAAAAGCTTACAAAGTATACTTTTTGAGCTGAAGTCGAATAATAAATGAAAAGCAGGTGGTTAACATTAAATTTCGAGGGTCTAGAGAGAGAAGTACCCCTGGTTCGCATTTTAAAAGTTTTTAAGTGAATAATGAAGTAAAATAAAAAAATAAAATATTAATCTAGACTTGTAAATCTCATTTCAAAGGGGAACTTTGATTCGCTGCCATAGAAATGCATTAAAGTTGCCATAGAAATGCATTAAAGTTTCCATAAAAAATGGAACGAATGAACTTAAATCATCCTCCGGTACTTTTTTAGAAGCTTCGAGGTCAATTAATATATTGATCTACCATTACTTAAAACAGGTAAATTATTATAAATGAAGATACTGAAAGAAAAGAAAATTTTAATTGTACTTACTGAATCTAAGTAACAATGTAAGAACGCAGCAGTGATGAGTATGCAGCGAAAGCCCAACATGCTTTTGCCGATTAATTGATGTCGCAGGTACATGAAAAATTCAAGTTTGAAGCAAGTTGTAATGTCACCGCGTTTCAAGACACTTCATGATTTTCTAAGTCAGTTCACCTTATATAAAAATGCAACCGTCTTACTTGATCTGATTATGAGGTAAAATAAGAAGTCACAAATCACTTAACACTGAACTAAACACCGTGATTCTCTTTAAAAAAGAAAAAAAAAAAAAAATTAAAAATTGAAGATAGAAAATAATATTTTGAGAATAATTGAGGTCCCGGATAGACTCATCTACATAGGTTTTTAGTGAATATTTATTTCTGAGCTCCACATAAAGTCTTTCCACACAGGAGAATATGCATTGCTCTCGATACTTCGACACCTATCGGAGTAATGGTGGTTCGCCTGAAAATTATTTCTAGGTTGCAAATTTTACCGCATGCTTTTTTTCAAAATTAGGATATGCGTTGAACGGCACTAGTTTTTTTCGTCAGCAAACATCACGAAACCCATTGGGGCGATATGACTGATAGAAAATATGCGTGACGTTGAGTATAACGTTAAACTTGAACTTGGGGATTTTCTGAATTAGTACTGGTGTGATAATATTCATGCGATGTTCTGAATCGTAAGTCTCCTCCTAGGTTGCTTTCAGTAGCGTGGCGTGCTTTGCGATATATCGATTGTTCTGCCACTTAAACCTATGGTAAAGAATCGATTATTATTAAGGTGTTCGCTGCGAACACCCTGATTATCAATCCTTTCTCATAGGTTTAAATGGCATAAAAATCGATATATCGCAAAGCAAGCCACGCCACTGGTTGCTTTACCTCGTGCGTGCTTGCAACCAGGCATTTTTTAATAATTTTTTTTTTTTTATTCTCAGTAATAATGGGCAGAAATAATAATTTACCTTCACATGCATCAACATGCCATTAACTTTTTCCCTATCAATGCTCGGCAATATTTCGCTTGTAGTGAGGGCACAGAAAAATTGAAGGAGAGTTGTATTACCAGGAAAACCGGTAATATTAATTAATATGGATTTGACTCATTCCAAGCATCACAGGCTCTTGGAATTTTATGTCCGTTGTGGATTTGTTGCACGCAAGAGATAAGAGTACAGAGATGTGTGTAGATTTTTAAGAGGTAAAATGGCAAAAAAAATAGCTAGGGTAAAATTAAAAAAGTCTGGTAATGGAAATGTTACATGTGCGTGAGGGATTTGCGATTTGACCATTGATTCTTAGGTAAAAGTTTGCGAGAAACACGATGATGCCACTGGTTTTCTCTGAAATCAACTCCCAAGATCAAAAAAAGCTCTCAAAGTGCGAGGCCAAAATGGAGGGGATATCCCACCCTACCCTGAGAGTCCACGCCTACCTCAAGACCAACTCTCTATGCAAAGATAGGGAGCAAATACATTGACAGGGCTGCCACTTTATTTGGGGACTCTAAAACTGAAGACACGGCAACCCTGCTAATGTATTTGCTCCCTATCTTCGCATGTAGAGTTTGTCTTGATGTAGACGTGGACTCTCAGGGTAGCGTGGGATATCCTCTCCATGTTGGCCTCAAATTGAGAGCTTTTTTTGAGCTTGGGAGTTGATTTCAGAGAAAACCAGTGGCACCATCGTGTTTCTCGCGATTTTTTACATAAGAATCAATAGTCAAATCGCAAATCCCTCGCACATGCAACATTTCCATTGAAGCCAATTCGCGTAGCTCGAAACGCGTTTTTAAACTGAGGAAGCGCTTGTTTATTTCAACCTGCCTTTAGAATTCTAGTAGTAAACTAGTAGCAATGCGTTCAAATGACGCACCACCTCAACAGCAAGATGGCGGAGAGGGGTCTAACATTATTTAGAATAGGTTAATCTGTGATACCCGCTTGTAATGCCTATCATATCAAAGCACAAAGGACGATAGTCGTTTTTCTATAATTTCTTTTTTTAGCGGTGGCTTAGTTCTCTCAAAATTGGACGTATTTGTGCTAAACCATAAACAAGTGGGACAGATGGGGGTGTGCTCTAGAATGTTGCATAAGAAATAATGTAAAAGTGGGGAAATGGAAAAGCGGGATTGTACATCCTACCAAACAGATCTAAACGCCAACTGAATGCGGCACTCATGAGCCGTCGGCACGGCAAAAGAGCGTTGTGGACAGGGCTCATGCGTTAAAGCAGACAACGAACGAGCGCGGCGGCAACGATCATCGAGCATCTGGGAAATACGCACTCTTTGTTTTCACGAGACATTTTTAGAGAGTCGATTTTTTTTAGAGGATATGAAGTTGGTAGGGGGCCAAAATATCACAGTTTTCCTGATTGAGGTTTGAATGGACGCTGCTAATAATAATGGGAAATGGAAATGAGAAACAAAATAATGGGGGAAAACACCTTTAAGAGGGTATTTGCGTGCTGGATACGGCACTTTTTTTCTTCTTTTTTTAGGTGCAATTTTTAATAATAACGAAGTAGAAATTATTAATGGTGAACGCGACTTCTGTAGAAAAAATGGCCTTGGAGAACACAAATGGACCCTGCATTTTTACGTATCAGTCATGGAGCATGGCATAATTAATGGGCTGGTTCATACTTAAATAGTCTACTTTAGCAGAAGAGCCGTTTTATGGAAACTTTTTGCACGATTGTGTGTAAACCAAAAACTCAGTTAAGACTAAGTTTAGTCAGAGTACTGTCAGTTCATATAGTCTGGTTTTTTAAGCTCCTCATCTCGTACTATACTCTCTCATGACGTAACTCCGATCCCTAAATGTGGCTTACAAATGTTTCTCATTAATAGTGGTTCTTTTAACGTTATTGAGCTTTTGGCGACTCCCTCTTTCCTTTCCCCCTCACCCCCTCCACTCCAAGAAATTCGGTGATTGTATCGTCTTAACATCTCACACGTGTTGGTGTCCTCAAGAGGCTATTAATTGTTGAGATTTTGAAAAATATCGAACCATCTCTTGAATGTGAGTTTCACCCGAAAGTTGCGACTGTGGGAAATTGTCGATGTGAGATGTACCGTCTAAATGGGAACGTGTTGAAAAAACATGGTGTTGTGATGTTGCGACTACTTTATACTGAATAATTTACCACTAATAACAAATATACCATCACTGTGATTATAGTTGACCACATTCCTACTAAACTTCACCAAAATTTGATAAAACATATTAAAATCGATTGCATGTGTAAAGGTTCTGGATGTACAAGAAATTTTCCTTCGACCTGTATAGAACATAACCGGGCGTTTGGCAACACACTATTGGGATAAAGTAACATAAGTCGAAGTTCACACCCCGTTAGAAAGCTACACAGTAAGAAAAAATGACCAAAAGTCTGTGCAAATATGGGAAGTAAAACTATGGATAAAGTCTTTACCATTTTGCAGATAAGAGTGAATTTTGAATCGATAATACTGCATTGAGTGCCTCCCTGTCACA